ATCAGAAATCAGCTGAGGCAGGTAATTCTAATAGAATTTTTAAAACTGCTATTTGTTACAGATATAGAATTGGCGTGAAATTTAATTTGGAATAAATACTCTGATGGATTTTGAAGTAGACTAGTTGTTATTTTTACTAATTTTTTTTTCTTAGATAACTCAAGAACTTTGTACACACGATTGAACAGCAGCAGCACTTTAAGGCAGCATGATAATAGTTGCAATACTTTAGGCAAGTTCATATTCTTTACTCTTTTTTTCTTCTTTTTTTTTTTTTTTTTTAACTTAATTTTTGTTTTTAGTTAATTCGAGACCTTCATACATGCAGTTAGATAATAATTTGAATAATAGTATTAGCACTTTAGGTAGTTTATACATTATATATTATTTTTTTTTTGCTAATTTTATTTTGTTTTCTCAGATAACTCGAGATCTTCATTCATGTAGTTAGATAATAGTGGCAATACTTCAAGTAAGTTTATTATAAATATTTATTATTCTTTTTTTTTTTAAAAGAAAAAAAAAAACCAATTTCTTGTTTCCAGATAAAAGCTCTGAACCTTCATACTGGCAATTAGATGATTTCATCAGCACTTTAGGTAGTTTATACATTATATGTTATTTTTTATTTTATTTTATTTTTTTTTGCTAATTTTATTTTATTTTCTCAGATAATTTGAGATCTTTGAATATATAGTTAGATAATAGCAGTGATATTTCAGGTAAGTTAATATAGTATTTGTTATTTTTTATTTTATTTTTTTTTTACTAATTTTATTTCTTTTCTCAGATAATAGCAGCAGCATTTTGAGTATGTTCATATGGTATTTGTTATTTCTTTTTTGTTTTTTTTTATACTAATATTATATTATTAGATAGAAACTTTGAACCTTCATATATGCAATTAGATAATTACAGCAGTACTTTGGGTAAGTTTTATATAGCATTTGTTCTTTTATTTATATATATATAACTTATATCTGTATATTTATACTTATTAATTTATTTTCTGCTCTTAGATAATTCAAGATCGCACAAACTAAAAGTTAATAATAGTGGCATTTTAGATAAGTTTATATAATATTTATTATTTTTTACTTTTTTTGTTTTTTTTCTTATAATTCAAATTTAAAATTTTATATAATATTTAGAAGATAATCAGGTTCTTTCAGATATTACAAACCAGAATTCAAGTACTACAAGTTATAAAATTTTGCATAATACAGCACGATGAGATCTTAATATTTATACTGAAAAAATGACAAAGCAGATGTTGAAAAAAAAGAAAAATTATAGATTTTTGTATTGGTGACCTTGTGCATATAAATATCCTAAGAATTGATCGATTTAGCACTGATCGCTCTACATTTTCTTGTAAAATTGTAAATATAATTGGTGAAAAATATAAATTAGGATATAAATTCGATATTATTAATGTTTGTTATTCATCAGGAGAACTTGAATCTCTCAGAACAACTACTTACCCTAAACTTAATGAGATCCCATTATACAAGTTATCTCTTCGAGAAGCAGCAAGGCTTCAGAGTGTGAGTTCATTATCAAGTACTATTTGTAATTGTAAAGGATCATATAATAATTGTAAGTATAGATGCAAAAAAGCTGGGAGTAGTTGCACAAGCAGATGTCATGGTGGAAAATCATTTTTTAATAAGAAATAATAATTGATAAATATATAAGTATCTGCATGATATAATTGCACAAAACTAGGAATAAATACTAAAGCATATGTGCTAATTTTTTTTATATGTAGCGATAGTAATTATTAAAAATTAGTAAGAATTTATCTAGTCATTTAAGATCATTTAAGTAATAGCTTGGAATAATATATAATAAAATTGAATTGTATATGATTAAATTTGATTGTTAATTAATTTTTTCTATAATATATAAAACCTTTATAACTGCTTACAAGTCATATTAATTTTTTTACTGATTTTAATTATTGATAGGTTGATTGTTTTATTATGCTTATGAAACTACTACTATTAGGGATATTAAATATAAGGTCTAGTCTGGTCCCAATTTATCCTAGTTCTGAACTAGTTAGAAACTAGTTTAATACAGCAATATTAATTATTATATTATGATTTAAAATTCACTAATCGGAGTTCTATTAATTATTTGATTAGTAATAAAATCTCATTAAAATTACTACTAATAAAAAATAGTAATTTAATAGTAATAAATGAAATCAGTAAAGTAATTTTTTTACAAATAATTAATAGAGTATTATACTAGTTGACAAACTTATTATGAAAAGAAAGTTCTTAATGAAATTTTTACAAATGTAGTTAGTTCGAATGAATTATTAAGTGTTAAACTATTATTTGAGCTGATCAAGTAAATAAATATAGTACATATATTTATTTAGTTATATAATATTAATATTAAAACTACTGCTATGTATTACTATTTGTAAAATGTTAATAAATATAATGTAACTAATAAATAGTACTACATATGTATTAATTAATTTAATTGCCTCAAATGATTACTAAGGCACCTTAGGTAACACTGAGGTACCTTAGTTAACTGATCTACAGGTTATGCATCTCAACTAATAATTGATATCTGAGGTGCCTCAGTTATCACCTGAGGCAAGAACCAATATGAGGCACAACATATATATCCATTATTAATTTTCTTGAATAAATAAACCTAAATTAAACTCACGTTTGTGTTTATATTACCTCTTTCAAAATAGAAGTTAATATAATACAAGAACTGACATTATAGATCATAGAATTTAAGTGAAGAATGAGTTTATAATTATAAATTTTCAATTAAAATTTGAATACTTAGTATTGTTTTTTTTTTTATGAATAAATAAAACCAAATTAAACCAGCATGTTATGTTTATATTACTCCTCTTTTATAGCATATAATTCTTTGCTATTGTATTCAGGTTAGATAAATAATATACAATATTAACTTTTGAAATTTTATGCGCTTAAAGACCATTGAATATAGAAAATCTTTGTTATCAATTATTATCAAAAAAAGAAACAATACCAAATATTTAATGTTTTAATTGAAAATTTATAATCAGTAAACTAGTTTTTTGCTTATTTAAATATTTGATGCTAGTTTCAAATCTTTATTCTTTTTATTTATTTAAAATATTATAAAATTTTTTAATTTATGACATGAAAATGACAGATAATATTCCTTCTTGACTCCTAAAATTTATTTGTTGTTTACAAAGATCGTGTGAGCTACTGATATATAGTAGTTCTCCAATAATTTCTCTTCACTTTTTTTCTAAATTTCTATAATTTCTATAATAGAAATAAATAAACCCAAAAATTTTTTGAGAAATTTAATCTATTTGAAAATTCTCGATTCTTTTTTGTTCGTCAATTCGGGAATTCTGTTAATTCTTCCAAATCTGAAGGTTCCTACAGTCCTTTCTTAATAGTTTCAAATCTTTATTTTTTTTATTTATTTAAAATCTTTTAATCTTATTAAATAAGAAAAATTATCTAGTAGCATAAATATGACAGATAATATTTCTTCTCGACTCCTGAAATTTATTTGTCATTTACAAAGACTGTGTGAGCTACTGACAATAATTTCTCTTCAATCTTTTCCTAAATTTCTATAATTTCTATAATGGAAATAAATAAATCTAAAAATTTTCCAAAAAATTTAATCTATTTGAAAATTCTCTTGGTTTTTTATTGTTTATCAATTCGGGAATTCCATTAATTCTTCCAAATATAAAAGTCTCTACAGTCCTTTTCTTAATTATATTTTTTGAGTCTGGAGGTTCAGAAATCTAGAACAATACCTTTAGCCGTTTCTTTTGAGATCAATACTAGCAGCTATATTAACATTGATAGTTTGTGAAAAACTCACTATAAAGAATACACCTTATGCAAGTGCCAATTATCATTCGGTACATTCAAATTTTTCTTAGAGTTAGTGTTAGAGAATAATTTAGGCTGATTTTGTTAGCATAAATAAATAATGTCATGATAATCTATTCTTGAGATCATAGTGTTAAAATTTAAAATAGAAGATGGAAAATTATATTTGTTGGTAAAATTTCAGCTTCAGTTTAGGCCTTTTTATATTAGTAATCCAATGAGAAATGGTATCAGAATATCACTAAGATCATTATTCTTTATTACTTTGTCTTTTGAAATTTTTAATTGCCATTGAATTTCAATTATATTCAAATGAATTATGAGCATTTATTTTTTAATTTTATAAATAAATGAACCCAAATTTAACTCAGTTTGCCAATAACAATTGTAAAATATTCGTATTTACATTATCTCTTCAAAGTGGAAGTTAATATATTACAAGAACTGACATTATAGAATAACTAAAAATAAACTGTATTAAAAATTTTAATAAATATAAATTAACTTGTATTCTGTTAATAAACTAATTTAGAACTTTATTAACTAATTCATGCACCTGAATAATTATTGAATAAATAAAATACAATATATTTAATATAAACGAAACAGTACTTAAGTATTCATGTTTCAATTGAAAATTTATTTTTTTTTTGTTATTAAGGCTACTTCCTTAGCCGATTAGATTTTTATTAGTTTGTTATTATGGAACTATCATATGAATAGTTTTCTAAGGTTTTATAGTTACATGATGAGTATACAACAAGCCACACATACAACTTTAGTCATTGTCTAATTTAAGTAGTCTGCCATACAGACAATCGACCATCTGTTGGTTCTACACTATGTTGCTATATCTGCAACCTATCTGTGAATTACCTATTTAAACACTCTGATCATTAACCCTTCCCTCTATCCCAAACTAATGTTACTACTATGACCAAGCGCTGACGCCAGCTAGTTCACTCGCGGATCCATTTCTCTGCACAGCTTAGGTTTTCTCGGGATGTGTATACCCAACGTATTGTGAGTCGCAGAGCTCCAGTTAATCTCAGAAGTAATTCCTACCAGAGTGTTCATGTGCCCATTTCACAGATTCACCTGGATTAGACCCTTGTCAATGTTCGTACAAACCTAGTTCCTGCCATAGCCATCCACCAGATATAGTCCTCCAAGTTCCAGCTAGATGTTTCATGAGGTAGATCCTCCCAATCTAGTTAGCTACCAAGCCAAGTTGGTGTTGCCGCTAATGCAAGGCACCAGGCTATGTTATACAGCAGATTTAATCGCACCTATCGATCTCATATTCTTCGTACTTAGGTTTTTTACTGGATCAGGTATTAACCGACTTGACCGTCGAAATCCGTACTACTTCACCAAACTCAGAATTTCTACCATGCAGGTCCCCTGCTCATAGATCCTATCAAGATTTATTTGTATAACATAACTCGAGTATTGCATCACACTTCTAATATCTGATTGAATTGAAAATTTATGATTTTAGTAAACTCAATTAATTTGCTTATATTTAAAGTTCACAATTTGATTGAGATTGGATCACATGCAAATCATTAGTGAAAAATAGTTTGTAATTTTTTTAATAATACATTTGTTACTCAAATTAATATACAATAAGAAAACTCAATCAGTTTTTGATTAATACATGAATTGTACCTTTAAATTAAATCTTAAAATCATAAATAAAGTTAGTCTTTACTATTCAGATTAGATTCTATGTACTTTAGGTTCAAGTCCCAAAGTTAGAATAATTCTGAACCTCTGTTATACATTTGAGTAAGATGTTTCTAGCATCATTCACATCTCTATCTATTTCTAAACTACAAGAATCACATCTAAAAATTTTGAATTCACCAAGATTTTTATTGATCAATTCACAGTTACTACAGATATATTCTTTAGTATATTCGATAACTTTATAACTCACAAATTTCCTAGCTTTGTAATGTAAGAACATCCTTAATTTGTAATGAAAACATATTAGCATCATCCTCGCTATCTTCAACCTGATCTTTCTCTTGTTCTTAAAAACCATGTTTGAGATTTCGAATTTTGGTATGTAGTCATATTTATTCAAAATAAAACTCAGCTATTATTATTATCGTTATTAGGCAAATTTTCAAATACAGTAATTTGACAAATAATTGGCTACACGTGCCGCTTTGTTGCACATATTCATTCATGTTACTATGATAAATTATATTAGAAAATCAATAAATAGAAATATTTATAACATTTAAAATTTTGCAACTTGTACTGACTGTATTACTATGAAATAATACTTCAGAACAATAATACAGTATATAATTTTTGAAATTACCAAAACTATTATTCTCTGTTGAAATATTCCAAAGTTCTTTGAGAACATTTGAAACATTCTAAAAGTAAAAATTTTCCCTTTGATTAATTCTTTTTTAATAATTTTATATAGATAATACTATTTTGAAAAGCTAGAGGTTCCAATAAAAAATTTAATTGAATTTATATAAATATATTATTCAATCAACCTTATTAATTAAATAATTGTTGAATTCTATTAAATCTTTCTATAGATTTTTTTTTTTTTAATAAAGTAATTAATTCAAATAAAATAGTAAGAATGATTGTCAATAAATTTTAAAATAAAATTTGTAAAATGAAAATTATAATAAAAAAAAAATGATATAAAGTGTCCTAAACTGAAGCTAAAGAAATTTGTGTCCAATTACTTTATTTTCCATCTTCTCTGCAAACTCTAATATTCTTTTAGGATGCATTTGGACATTTTAATATTAGTTATTATTATCATATCTACATCTGAAAATCGACCCAGTAATTGTCTGATAAAACCTATATGACTTGGCGAAACTATGACAAAACTTTAAATCCAAATCCATAACTCAAAAATTTTATATTGATTGAGTGGTAGACGTTGCATAATGACCATAGTTGTTATCATTTTTTATTTTTATGATTTTTTTTTATTTTTATTTATTTTTATGATGTTTTATTTTTATGATTTTTTATTTTATAATTTTTTTATTTTTATTTATTTTTATAATTTTTTATTTTTATGATTTTTTTATTTTTATGATTTTTATTCCTGTGAAAAGAGAGATAAAGAGCCCACTTTAGGAAATTATTATTATCAAAATACTACTTTAAAATATATTTAAAAGATACAATACAAATATTATTTACTTAATTAATAATAAAAAGAGATAAGTTGGAGATTTGTATAAATATATGATATAATTAAATAGTCAAGAATATTTTAGTTTAGGTCTAAGAAAGATTTATTAATCGAGTTTTCTTAAAGAAATAGAAATCAGATCAACATCATTAAAAAACAATCATAGAAATCAAGAACTAAAATTCAATAAAAGATAAACTTATTATTGCTAGTAAAAAGTAGAATTAAAATATAAATATAAGACAAGAAAGCAAAAATTACTAAGAAATCTTTTAAAATTTTTTCAATCAATTATCTATGAAATAAATTTTTTTAAAAATAATTCACTTATATGTAAAAAAAAAAAAAAAAGTTACATGATAAAATTCTAAGCTATTTTTTATTAATTAAAGATTCTACCGAATTTATTGTTAAAATATTTGTGAAGATAACATACAGTATTCCTGTAACTCTATTGCTAAAAATAATATAAAGTGGCTTAGCATAAAAAATATGAAAGACTTTCTGAGGAGTACATCTGTAAAAAAAAAAAGCAATTACGATATTTAGGCAACCGAAATTAGTCTTATATAGTGTTGAAATTAATTTTCATAGATGCTGAAATTATTACTGAAATTTTACTCTTTTCATCAAAATACATCATATAGTATAGTTATTTCAGAAGGTTTCATATATAAAGTTTAGCAATGCCAAAATGTTTGCTGAAAATATTTTTTTTCAAAATTAATAAGATCTATGTTTTAATAAAATGAAGTAATTTTTTTGTTAATTTAAAACTTCTCAATAAATTTGTTAAAAAATCTAGTATTTTACTATTGCTATAGATTTTCACAATTGTTACACACAAAATTATTCATATAGGACTATACATATATTTGATCTACATAGTATACTAGACACCCCCAATGTATCATTATAGTAGTGTTAACTTTACTTTTATAATATTAGACATTCTTATGTCTTCTTAGTGACTTAACCTATATGAATTTCTCTAGTTGTATATACATAATATTTGGAGTATATATGCTCTTACATAAATCTGATAGAATGAGTTTCTATAGAAAAGCATATGAAATTCAGAATTATAACATAGATGCTATATTCTTAGCATAGACTTTATAAGAAATAAGAATGTATTTAAGGATTGCCTTTGCCTTTAGCTCTGAGAAAGAAATGCTCTCTGATATTATCTCTAAAATAAAGAATATATAAACCTACATTCTTTTATATAATAAATACTTACTAATCATGTGAAATCCAAATTTCTTAATTTCTATCATGTACTGCATCTCTCTTATACTAACCAACAGAGTTAAAACTTAGCATAGTTGTTAAAAACTTCTCTGTTCAATAGTGACAATAGTTTTTAAACTATTTATAATTTTAATACTGCTAGAAGACAAAAGAAAATTCATTAAAAGATGATTATAAACCAATAATTATATACAAAGAATTTATCCAATAAAGTTAGAAAAATAGATAAATATATATAAAAATCAA